GGAAACACCATAAATCTTCATACTTAGAATATTCTACTGGGATCCAAACTGTTGGCATGTGACAACCATGAAATAAAGTCTTTATATTTCTTACTGGAAGTTTTGCATCATTGCTGTTGGGGATTCAGCTCATGTGATTAAAGCTTGTTATGAGAGGCAATTTTCTTTTGATACTACGCTACTGAAAGGGAAAGATTTCTTTCAGAGTTAGACATATCTTTACTTTGTACCTAAATCCTCATATTGAAGGTTTCAAAACCTTCTGCTGTATAAGAGAATCATTACTATAAATCTGTCTTAAAACAGCTTAAAGAATATAAGACAGACTAGCAAAAGAATCACTACGAAGCATGTAAGTATAAGCTTATAAGAAAATTGTGTCTAATGTACAATTATGCTTTTCGAAATCTCACAGCAATGACACCACAACAGCTGGTGAAGAAAGAAATCCTACAGCTATACAGGTAGTAAACAGAGGAACAAATTAAAGTAAGAATATTAGCAGCTCTTTACCTATCTTGGCATTTTAATCGTGAAAGTCAGCAATACTGAAACCCTTCTGAGGCATTTGATAAAAGTCTCATAAAACACGACAGGTAGTTGCCACTTCATTTTCATTTTTTCCCTGTGCTTACTGTCTCCAATAAATTCAAAGGGACTGAAGCTGACAGGATGGCAGTCATTTCTTTCTATACTTAGAGGTAAAATGATTGCCCTTTTATGGTCCAGCAAGCTAGTAAAGGCTTGTCTTGGGCAGACAGAATAGTAAAAGAAATAAAGCCCATGGGAAAGGTATGTTGTCTGCGGGGGAATTTGACATAGACAATTAGCCGTGAGCAGGCACAGGAATAATGATGGGGTTGGGAGACGGAGAACTGTTCATGTAGGAACACAGGAAAGGAGCAGGTCTTAACCAGCTTCAGTTGTCTTCACGTATCGTAGACAGAAATTGTTCTTACTAATATTTTCTGACATTAGGATGTTTAAACTCCGACCGCTCAGTACCTAGCAGGGGAAGTGACTTCTGGTTCAGTGTGAGGCACAGTATTTTGTACCTTTCCAAATCATTTGGTACCAGGAGCTTTTGTTCTGTAGCATTGCCCATAGTTGTACGGTCAGAGGTAGGACATTTACAGTACAGGAAAAGAAAAAGCATTAACAAAGCAGAACTACATAAAGCCACTGGTTTCATTGAAGACATTCATATTACCAAAAACTGTGAAGAAAGAACAGTGGTAACACCTAATCTGAGATACACATAAACAATACAGATGGAAACAGATGGGGAGCTTGACAGTGAAGGACAGGTTGGAGTCCGCTGAGTGGTGCAAGGTGCTACAGAGAACATCTTAAGGTGAAAACCTCCAGTTCCCAACAGATTCGGTGAACAGATCAAAGAGCAACAATATCATAGACAATGCCAGTATCAAAACTGAAAGCAAATGTAATAAATAAAGGTTGTGCACAGTCTGCTGTCAGTCAAGGTCATAAATAAAACCGCTACAGATCTCTCTGTGACAGATTAGTCTATATTTAGGAAGAGTTGACTGCTTGGGAAACATGTTCTGAGATAGAGAATGCCTATGCGATAGGAATTATTTATCTCAAGGAAATAGTATTACCGAAGAGAGATGTTTTAAAAACTTTAAACTGAAATTATAAAGATGTCCCACTTGTAGTGAGGAATATTTAGAATTAATGTACTTACATTTCAGAGACTGGTCATGCTGTTGTTACAGAATCTATTCATGAGAGAAAATGTCTCTCTCTTCTATTTTTATATAACCCTTACAGGTCAGCGCACTGAAACACTGAACTCAATTATATGGGCACTTGACCAAAAGGAACCATTTGACTATGAAATGTCTGAACAAATGGAAAAAACTAGTAAAAAGGCTAATTTGGTGGCAGTGTGCATTTTTTTCATTATTTTTTTCTCTTTTTCCCCTTTTTTTTGTGCCACAGGCATTGTCATAAAAATATAATATAGCAGCATAATATGCAGTTAAAAGTGCTTTGTAGACAACTGCTTTCCAGCTCAATATACCAGTGTGTACAAGAAAAATGACAGAAAGCAGCACTGAAAGATTAGTCTAGAAGTATAAGAATCTGTACAACAATCATTACAAAATGGAGGTGGAAGGGGAATTGAAAATGTTTCTTACCTATAAATGATATTTCTTCATTATGCAAAGTAATTTTCAACTTTGCTTTTCTTTTTAGTTGCAGCATAGATAGTAATGTATAGTAAAACATCCTAATGAAAGTATCCAGCCTCACTATGTTAAAAACACTTACATTAAAAATTCACTGGAATGTGTCTTATCATTAATATTAAAACTCTTCAGAAGACGAGATAAGAGAACATCTGAGCTACAGTTATTTACTATCTATCTGTATTAAATTGCATTGGAAGATGGAAATCAAATAATCCCCTTTTTCCCCCAAACTCTATAGGATGACATAGGATGACAAAATCCTTGCAACTAAGCCAAATCACTAAACTATTCCTTATAATAAAGTTAGCAATACTTTTGGAAGTATGCTTTCTCCATACAGGGAGCTGATATTATACAGCTATACCCACAGATAAACCCTCAGGGATACAAAGAACCTTCATAACAACGAAAGACCAAAAAAATCCACCCTAACTTAGATCAATAGCACATCTTATACCTTCTCCTTTATTGAAGGGTTTAATTACTTTAAAATAATCACTTTTCCATAATTACTTTACACACGAACAGACCACATTTTAGTATTTTTATCTAATGAGCATCACTTGGTATGTTTATAAGTAAAACAAAGTGAAGGAAT